TTTCTTTCTTTCTTTCTTTCTTTCTTTCTTTCTTTCTTTCTTTCTTTCTTTCTTTCTTTCTTTCTTTCTTTCTTTCTTTCTTTCTTTCTTTCTTTTCCTCACCCATGACACACAGTAAAATATCTGACTTTAATACCTTGAGTTACCTGCCAGGCATGGCAGGGACTGGGGACATCATCTCCCCTTGGTGTGTCAGCTCATCTTCTGGCTCTCTTGCTTGCTCTAGACATCAGCCAGTTGTCCCTCTGGAACCAGCAGTGTCCCACTCTCCAGAAAACACCATCCCTGCCCAGTTCCACCAAGGGGAAGAGGAGCTTGGCCATGTCAAGCTGCCTGGGCTATCTGACGTGGCCTGCCCATCTCTTTAGAGGCTTTTCTGTTGCTCTCATCAACATGGTATCTCAAGGATATCCTCAAGTATGTCATTGGTTGTGACATTAGTTTGTGATTTTGATGACTGTGCTTTCTTGYTCAAGGAAAAGTAGATAGGAATTACCACAGCCCTTGGCTTTGGTAATTCAGTTTAGCGAAGTCCCATTAAATCTGTGTTGCATGGGAATTTTAGAAATCTCCAAATAATATTTAATCCTGGAAAAATGCGACAAGAGTGTTCGGTAACTCTCTCCCAAGAAAAGAAGATGCTTTTGAATGGAAATTGCTTTTGAACGGAAAATGACTGAAAGGGAACACACAAAATAGTTTTTGTCTGATAAATGGATTTGTTTTGATATTTTAAACAGAAGAGGAAATGCGAAAAATAGCTTTTAGGGAGGTTATTATCACCTTTTTTTTTTTTTCTTTAATACACTGAGGGGCCTGCAGCATGAGGAATGTCTTTYACTTCTGTCCCTGCATGCACAGGCACGTGTGTCACCCTGAAACGCCCCGGCCATCATCTCAGCTGCTTTCCTCATGGAGGGAGTAGGAGGGGAAGGAACGAAGGAAGGAAGGGAGTGAGTGTGCTTGGGGATGGAGGAAAAAGGGGTCCCAGTGCTCCCCATACAGGACAGCTGGGAGCCTCATGGGCCAGTGGTGCCAAGCGCTCAGTGTCATTGATGTTTTGTGAATTTATTTTGTTGCTGGTGGGAGGAAAAGCCAGCATAGCTGGGACGGGATGGGCTGGGGGCCTGCAGTCAGGTSACGGTGATGTGGAGTGATGTGGCAAGACGCTGGGCAGTGGCCTAGACGGGACTGCCCTGGCATTGAGCACAGCCCCGTTTGGCTGCCCTTCTCTGCWGCTCTTCATCCTCCAGCAGGGAGGTTTCAAACAAAGCAGGTCTAAGCATGTCCTCAGGGTCCAGCTGAAGCACACTTAGCAAATGCCAGTGGCCCCTATCACGTTGTCCTTCGGCATTTCAGTCACCAAAATTGAATGCTCAAGCGTGCAACCAAGCCAATTCTGCTCTTGGCTCTTCAGAAGATACTTATCTGCAGGATGTCAAGAATCATTTGTCCCTCCTTGGAGAAAGTGCTGCTGTAACTTGAACTATGTCTTTCACTGGGCTGTAGAGGCAGTTACCCACTGTATGTTCCCCAAAGGCAGCCTGAAAATTGAAGAGCATTAAACCTGCCAAGAGAGCATTAAACCCCTAGCTGACCTTGCTGACACTAAGTCCACTAGGCTACTTGGGGTGAGCTTGTTTCTACTGCCCATCAAAATCTAGCCAAAATGACCTCAAGGACCGGGACAGAAAATCAAGTCACGGAAGAAATCACTGCTGGTAGAATGAATCTTCTTCATTGCCTGGTTGGCGGATGACAGATGGAAATAACCATCTGAAAGGGTGACATATAATCAATTCGAGAAAAATGGACAATATTTCAGAAAAAAAAACAGTGTCCAAGTGATTTTTTGGAGATCAACTTCTTAGCATGCAGTAAGGTCTTGAGAAATTAGTGCTCAGGAAAAATGGTCATGGGGGGCCATCTGTAACTTAATTATGGTGACAGAAGTTTCTGGAAACCAGAACAAATTGTACATTCTCCTATTTTTACTATTGTATTTTCAGYTATAAGCCAGGGCTAAAACATCTGTGTAATGACTCATTGTCTTTTCTAGACACGTTGTCTTTTCCAGATACAGAATTGTATCTGGAGACACAGATCTCCTCGACAGAATGACTAGGAAGTTGTTCTAATCCATGTACAGACAGTGGGAAACTACTCACTGTCTCAGTTTCAGGCTATAAAGCTTTATCATTTGCAATGCTGTCACCCAACTTCTGGAGTGACCTTKCAGTCTATGATGTGCCTGGCCATTCCTTGGGGGCTGGCAAGGAGCAGCGTGTCTCCAATCAGACAACCCCTGCAAAGGTCTACACAGGATCCAGGTGTGAAGGAGAACCTTAAACAAAAAGTTCTCGAGCTTTGGAATGACGATAGGCTGGGGTCATGTCTCTCAGTTGGCCAGCCTGCCTTTATCTATCAATTTTCCATTTTCATGCTGACATGTCTCCTTTCACATTCCTTTACCAGTTGTTCTTATATCCAGCGTCCCTTACAGGCTTCCCTCTTCACTATAATATGTACACTCGGTTGTCAAGAGYCTACAAGCAGACAAGCTTCATTTTGCTTGATATATTCAGTTTTGGGTAAGAATGACTTAGTAGCTATTTTTGACTTGTTGGCTCGGGACATGTAGATTAACTGAATTATTTTATTCTCTGAGCTCTCAATTTCAGGTCTAACTGGTCACAAATTCATCATTTCTCCTGCTTCCATAACCAAAAATTTTTCACCATATATTCAGCACTCAGCTTACTAGCAGTCAAGCTTCTTGTTTGGAGAYTGCAGAACTGGTGATGGAGATGCACGTGTATTACACTGCTCAGTAACTCCATATGAAGAGTACTTTCAGTATCATCATCTCTCCCACAGAACCTTCAGCTGTCTTCTCTTACTTGTAAAGAAAATGTAATGAAACTCCCTACTGTTTTTTTTTTTTTTTTGTATGTTTGTTTTTTTCTGGCCAAGTGAATGTTATAGCTGAGATTCCCCAAACAGTTCTTGCTGATGGCCCATGGAGAGGTCCTGGTACCATGGTCCTGGTCTTTTTTTCTGTGTACAAGAATGGTTTGAAGGACAGCTAAAATACATACTAACATATATCCATCCTCCTGCTGTCACTTTCCATATAAGCAATTGCTTAGGGCTGGCATAGAAAAATGATTTGGTCACCAGTGGGAAGRGAAATGGAGTGTGTGACCATGAACAGGAATGGAGGCAGTAATCATTGCAAGCCTTGTAAGAAGAAAATGATTTTTTTTTAAAAGAAGTTTGACAGAAAAATGCTCTGTACCTACTGTTAAACCATGTATCAACCACGCTGATGGAAAGGCCTGCTGCAGCAGAGAGCCAATCTGGGCAGACRAAGCAGGTTCCCAGTAGGGATAAAAGCCGATGTTCTCCCGCTACGACGTGTTGTGGCTGGAGCAGCCAGGGAAGCACTGCAGCTCCCTTTGGCTTTGTAGCTCCCACCACGCAAGCAGTGATAGGTGAACTCTGCACCCTCGTAGCGTCACATCTCACCTGTCCAGCACCATATACGTGCATATACGTGTGTGAATGCAAAGGGGATATTCAGCAGTCTACAGATGCCGTCTTCAGTTGGCTCCAACTGCTTTTAAGACCAAACGCTTTTAAGATCAAATGCTTCTGAGTATTCAGCAATTTTAAATGCTCCCCTTCATGTCATGCAGCCTGCATGAGCCGTCTACCAGACCAATATCCTAGCTGTACCTTCCTGCAAAATAAACCTGCATCCATCATCAAAGTATTTCTCCCATATACTCACAGGAAAAGAACATCCATAAAGAAAAAACACCAAGGTTTTCCAGCACACATTTGCAAAATGTTTCAGATTTCTAAACTTTACCTCTGTGTGGCCAGATGCTGACATTTTGCTGCAACCCAAGAATTTATTGACTTACATGAAAATATCTCCTTTGAACATAGCACACAGCAGCATTTGAATACATATTTACAAATTTATTTGAACTTTTGAACTGCAATTCTACAACTGAGCAACATATCCATAAGTGTTTCATAAACTTTCAAACACTTACATATTTATACATATAGTTTTTGCATATATATATATATATATATAAAAATATTTTTGAGACTCAAGGACTGAGAATAGTCAAAAGGACATTATTGCTACATTTCCATATTTACAAAAAACAACGCATAAAACCATTCAAAACACCAAGCCATTGCAAAGTAAGTTTCAAAAAAAAAAAAAAAATCCCCAAATTATAAAAATATAAATTTCAAGAACGAAAAAACCCCAAACCTCTTTCAGCTAAGTGTCTGTAAAGTACCGAGACGTCTATAATTATAACAACTAGTTTGTCTACAGTTGCTCTGAAAGTCAACACACTACGAAAGAGCTTTTATAGCATTAAACTGAAAATGCTCAACAACAAGTATGCGTAAGAGTGCCTCCAAACAACTGGCTAACTTTGGAAAGGTGCAACAGCCTAGGTAAGTTCAGTGCAAATGGCTGATTTTTGACTAGCTCTGAAGGACAAATTTCGGTAACAAGAAACCAAATGCACAGTCATATGAAGAGGGTGGTATTCCATATAACCTAAAATATACTAGCAGTGTGTGTATTTACAACTATCTTGCATTTGGGCAGTTAGTTACACATTTGAAATGCATGTAAACTCAACGAAAATCCTGGTAAAGTATAAATTACAGAGTGCTCAAGTGCATTGTAAATAAATAGGTACTTAACTAGTACTCTGTCTCTGACATGCTCCTCTCAATGCATTTACCAATTTATAGGTGATGGAAAAGAAGGAAGAGAAGACCCAGCAATGATGGGAAGGGCTTATGAAATACTTCAGCACAGCCCTAGGCTCAACCAGATACTGACCCCAATGCCTCCTGCCTTCAAAATAAGGCTGAAGGCAGAGTTTGTTTGGTCCTGCTTAGAAATTCCCTGGTCCCCAGCTAAGCACTTGGTCTCCCTTATAGTCCCAGCGCAAGGGCAGAGCTGGGAAGATGAAATGCCTGGGATGTGGGGGGAACAGCCCTCTCCAGATAGCACTATCCTGCCCTGCCTGTGGGAAATACTCACCTGGGCAGGGAAAGATAAAGGAAGGGCCCTCAGGAGAGGATCTGCTGCTCCTGCTCCCTCTAGATAAGACGGCTCATTTAACAGTCTCTCCTCCGCACATCACACGTAGTTTCTTACAAACGGCTCTCCCACATTTTAACCAACCTAGCAGGGCCCATCTGTCTTTGGTGACCACTTTGGGAYGTGACTATCAGTAAAAGAAGTGGCTGAGCCTCAGTGCTGCCTCGGCCAGGCTCCAGCTCCGGCTCTGCAGTGGGAAGCAAAAGCAGAGGTCTGCGCTACCCTCTTAGCACCTGGTTCCAATCCCAGAGGAGATTCCATGGCAGGGCCCAAGGGATCTGCTCCCTTCCCTCGCTGGTCCTGGCTTGTCCAGCACCTTCATTGCCTGCAGCCTGCCATGCCTGCCTGGGAAAGGTGCACGTGGAAGGGGCTTGTGAAGCAAGTAGCTTTACATCAATTTGTTTCTTAAACCCAGCAAAATGAAGTTAACTAGAAAATGACAAAACGCTTTCCAGGCAGAGATCCAAGCAGGACCACTGCAGTTTTGGTTTGATCTGTGTATTCATCTCTTTCCACACCCTGGCTCAGGATTTCTTTTTTCTTTTTTCTTTTTTCTTTTTTTTTTCTTCAGATCTGGCTCTCTACTGCAAATACACACAATATAGCAACATATATACAGCTTCCGTTAACGTTGCAATGATGCCTGTAACCGTGCTTGGCAGAGTTAAGTTCATGTGTAACAGTGTGTGGTAAAAGGACAGTATTACAACAACATTTCAGCTACACAGTGGTAGTAGTGAGTAAAAGGAAGAGAAATCATTGAAGTCATCCATGCCTCTCTCACTCCCTGCAAAACTCAAAGAGCGAATCCACGCGGGCTCCTCCTCTTCCAGGCACCAGCTCCTCTCTCAAACATCTTCGCGTACCAGGAGGGGCTGGGTGGATGAAGCGCTGCTGCCCACCGAGTTAATCCGCACCGAGTGATCCGCAGCGGTCCCTTGACCAGAAGGAGGAGTTGAGAAGTTTGCATAAACCTGCAGGGCCCAAACACCGCGGTCAGTAGAGTGCAGAAAGCTCCTGCACACGCGCTTGCAAAGAGCTCTTTTGCTAGCAATAAAGTTTCCAAAGGCCCTGGGGGTTAATTGCGCTTTAAATGAGTCAAGAACATCAACCCTGGTTATCAAAAACACTGCAGCTTACAACTACAGACCAAATTTAAGCTAAGTGTGAAAAAGTGCAGCTCAGGTTATTGTTTAAATTGCCCCAGTAGCATCACTAAGAGTTTTTCCTGTGTTCTTGCGTATGTTTTAGAAATGCCTGAACCTGCCAAAAATACTATACAGGATGCAACTGAGCACCAACAGCTTTCGTTTATTTCTTTTCTCAAATTGTCAGCAAGCTGTGTACTTTGCACCCAAACACGGCATCTAGACTGTACAAGCTTTACAAGCTTCTAAGTCAGATTTTAAACCTTTTCTTTTTTTTTCTAAAAATCCAATTATGAGTGAGAGAAAATCCCAGGCTCTGACACATCCTGACTTTTTTTTTGGACTTTTTTTTATCCAATTATCATCCTAGAAAACATTTCACTCGAGAAAGGTCCGAAGAGCAGCGAATACAGTAACTAGTTTGTCACAACCTTATTGCCAAGATTATATAAATACAACTAGGTGAAGTAACTGAGAAGAGACAGAACAGCAGAGAAAGCTTGACTCCTTTGCCCAGAAAGCTTTCCAAATACAAGTTAAATATATTTCACTTCTGAGATTTCTCCCAGATAAATAGAGGCTTGCATAGATTAGGATGAGTTTTACGTGGTACTGCTGTATTTTGTATGATCAAAATTGTTGTGGTGGGTATGTTTTGARGGTGGAACACCAAGCCATGCAAAACCTGTTTTTAAGCCGAACCTGTTTCAGTGTCTGGGCCCAGACAGCTACTGTACATCTGGGCAGAAACAGTGCCGCAAAGCAGAAGTGATAGTGCAGAAAGCCTTCCCAACACCCAAACTTACAGCACATAAATAATAGTGGAAAAAAACCTAGAGAAGTGCTGAGGTGCTTCCCTTCTTCCAGCTCTAGTGTAAGGTCTTGCTCAAAACAGCTTTGACCCCCAAAGCCCCACGAGCCATATGGAGCCCTCACTTACCCGGGGGGCATTATCCGAAAGCTGCTGCTCAATCAGCTGGACGATCTGTTTGAACGTGGGTCTCTGTAGAGGATCAGCGTCCCAGCAACTCTTCATTATGTCATACCTACAAAGATACTAAAATTAAGTACTGATGATGAGGGAATTCTGAGCGCTCTTGCCTGGCCTTTATTATTGCTTTTAGAGAGTGAACAGGCAGGAAAGTGTGACACCCGCTCACCATTTAACTTGCTTAAATGCCCTGTAAGAAGAGAAATGGCATTGTTAACGCCTGTGCTTGCAACAACAAAGGGCTCTATACTAAGGAGAGGCTCTGGGCACAGTTTTCTTCGACAGCCTGATAAGTGCCAGTCTGTTTACAAAACAGCGAATGAAGGATGGCTCGTATGTGGCCAGTCCCTGTGTGGCCAGGAAGTATAGCACAGATGCAGACACTCTGATGATACCTCTTACTGGCTGTTTTATCTGAAATAAAAACGTTCAGCGTGCTCTGCAGTCTACAAATATTTCAGCCACACCGAGCAGATGCCACGGCGAAGGGATCCGATGTTAAAAGGCAAGAGTGTATTGCAGTGTGTGCAACAACACAGGCATGGATCACGCATGGATCACAAACAATCTAGCTAGATTGCATGGATCATTTACAATTTGAAAGGAACTTGAAGACAATGGAGCAGTATGGAGAGTCCTAATGCAAACAGGGAAGCTTCCCTTCCCCTGTGTCACTGCAGGTATTTGGAGCTGAGCGGTGCGAGCTGCTCGCTTACATTTCAGGCGGTGCACACTCGGGGCTGAACATCCTGTAGCCCTCCTTGATCATTCTGTAGAACTTGGAGTCCACCGGCATCCCCGGATACGGGCTGCTTCCTGGTGGGAGGACAAGGGAGCAACGTCACCTCCACACCAGGGTAAAACCAAGAGGGACACGAGCCACCTGCGGCACAGGCCTCGGAGCAGCTTACCCAGAGAGAAGAGCTCCCACAGCAAGATCCCGTAAGACCAGACGTCACTTTCAAAGGTGTAAACGCAATTGAAAATACTTTCGGGCGCCATCCACTTCACTGGAAGTCGGGCCTTTCCAGGGAAAAGAGATTCAAATAAGACAACAGGCACAAGGTGTAAATTTTAATAACATGCAATGATTTTTAGACATATYATGTGCTTTAAATACTTGTTTCATTAGATAACGGAACTACCCACCTAAAAAAATGGGAAATTCTCTGTATTTTAGAGAGAATAGCAAGTGCTTCATGCTTACTGATCCATCTTTTTATGGGTCCACCAAACTCGTGCAGTTCCCTGCACTCTGATTTTCTGTATACTGTGTGATTCTCTATGTCTGGTTATAAAAGATGGCAGGAAATCAGAGCGAAGGAGTATGTATAAACATGGCACTGTTCCTTATGCAAACATACAAGCCTCCTTCTGTGGCCTGGCCATCATAGCTATCACTGAACAGGTCCACATACTCAGTTAAGACATCTGCTTTAGCTCCTTATTGTATGGGGGAGAAGAGAGAAAATTCACATAAAAACATCTTGAGCATTTTCCGAGACTCGTGTGGGAACAGACACTCTTTAGGAATGACAATTAGAGCACAGGAAAGGGTGAAAGGCACCGAAAGCCTCTGGATTTGCTTCCGTTTCCTGTCCCTGTTCTGCCCTTTTTCTTTTCTGACTGGGGGAGCCAGTTAAGCCTAGACCCAAGTCCTTGTCCTGCCCCAAGAGAAACCAGACCTCTTTTCCTTTCAAATGATCCTGCAACAGTTACATTCAAACACATATTCCAACCATATCACAGACAAAAGCCTTGATGACTTGTAAAGGAAGAAGATGTGGGAAGGAGAYGAATGGAAAAGAGAGGAAATGCGGCAGAAGACAGGTTGAATTTTTCGTTGGCTCCCTGACGTTTCAGGGAACTGCCAGAACATGCAGCACAACAGAGAGGCACCCAGAGTCTCCCGAACAGCAGAGAGGGCAACGCTCTGCTCGCCAGGCCCCAGCTCTGCCAAGGCCAGCCAAGCTCCTGGCCTGGTTTAAGATTAGGCCAGATGCTCCCAGATGCCCCCTGCAGCCCCTGCRCCCGCCCCGCCGGCGGCTGCAGCCTATCCTCTGCTGACCCTCCAGCCTAAGTACAATCTGGCAAATTTAAAGTAGAGTCTAGACGAGTAAAATGTAATTACTTACTGCCCACTTCCTGCACAAGCAGCTGGTCTGCGCTTCCCAGCCCTCGTGCACGGGCTGATCAAGCCGCTCCTGATCTGACACCGAGCCTTCCTCACACTAAGTGTCTCTGAATGTTTTGCCAGGAGAGCCATCCCTGAATTGTTTAGGGCTCCTCATGTTCCCTACTCCCAGGCGTGCAGTGGTTGCCACCAACTCTGGCACTGAATCAATGAAATCTTCACTCCACACCCCTGCAGCCTAGAAGAGGGTTGCTCTGGTTGCCTGGGACCCCGCTGGGGACAGCAGAGGTACCTGAGACACCTGAGGTGCTGTGAACTGAGCTTAACAGCGCAGCAAAAAGAACGTCAGAGAGCAATGCTCAAGCGTGGGATTTCCCTTCTTTTTCAGCCCGAAAATCCCAGACAGGTAACCTGTGGTTTGTGGTCAAGCCCTTAGCTAGAGACCAACTTCTGACTTTCTGACCGCTATGCGCCAGATGGGGGTGGTGGGAGGCTGCTTTGCTGAACATCCATCTTCATTTCTTTTAAAAACTGCACAAATCATAAGGTGTTTGCTCTGAAGGTAGGAGAGGGGTGCACATACAGCATAAAGTGGAATTAAAACAGTAACACRAACGCAAAAATTAGTTTGAGATGCAAAAGCCCTTTTGAGCAAATCACCTTCCCAGCACACTTTTCCAGCTTAACCAGAGAMAGGCTTCATTTTCTTTCGCAGTAAGGCTCTTTTTACTGCTCTTGCATTTTAAAAGGGGACTTCAAGCACTGCCAATATAATCTGCATCACTTCAAAGTGTCTTTGTACCTCTGCAAAGGTCTAGTAGGTGCTAGTGTAATTGATACTCTTCTGCAGAGGAGGTTTTAAGCTTTTCTCATCAAAATATTGTGTCTCATTCCAAATAATGTTTACTTATTAGGGTAGGAGCTATAACTAAAAGTTACAGACATTTATTATACATAAAAGGCTGAAGTATATGGAATCAGAAAAAAAATCAAGGCTTCTTTGCTTCCCACTCTACCCTAACCAATAAATTCACACTTCTTGAATCTTGTTTCTGCTGAGTAACATTTTATAATAAAGAACRGGATGCAAAACCTTGGTTATTTAGGTATTTTAAAAATATATTATTTCAGTTACGAACAAAACGAGCAATGCCCACTGGAGATGTTCCCAAGTAATTAATATTAGCATTGGCCTACCAGAATATTCCCATGGCAAAACTTACTGTACTCAYAGAGTTGTAACTTTTAGTATATACAGATATAACAAAAAGACTACATGTTATTCTGGTGCAACAAAAGCATCCCCTCTAGCACAACGTATGTTCAGTTACGAGCATGGATCTTCAATTRTAACAGCATGTATACACTACACATTTGACAGCACCCCTATGGAGGGCAGGAACTGCCTCTCTTCACAGTTCTGGCCCTGGTCAGCACAGGTATATACCAGAATTGAGAGGTCCAGATATGGTCTAAGAAAGAGATTTCTTTGTAAGTCAAGAAAATACAGAGGAACGTCCCAAATTCAAAATCGGTGGATTTAGTATCATATATACTTACATTTCCTTTGACCACATAATTTGAATCATTCCTTATATCTCTTGCCAAGCCAAARTCACAGATTTTTGTTATTCGACCATGAGTGAGGAGAATATTTCTTGCTGCCAGATCCCTGTGAATGCACTAAATAACAAACAGACAAACAAAATCATTTATTTTATAATATCCTTAACGCACTGCTGCTTGGTTGCATGTTTTCTTGACTATATACTTACTGAATTATGCATTTTTGATTAGCYGAAAGTCATAGTGCAAACCATGTGTTAGAAAGCTTACTCAGATGATTAAAAATGCTGGTGTAGTATCTTTACAATCATGCTATTGATCCACGTAGTTAAGGCTGTCTATGCATTTCCTTTAGAAAAGACTACTTGCAGACACTTTATTTTTTTCAGCATTTGCAAGAAAAGTTTAATGTACTTGTTCTATGCTGGGGACAGATTTTTTTCTTGACCTTTTCATCGAAAAAAAAAGTCATTGACCTGTTTCCTAATACAGGACAAATAAGGGGAAATTTAATTCTAAAATAATTCCAATCCTTTATGAAGCYACTGTTGTGGTTGAAAAGCTGAAAACCGGCAAGATCATGCTAACAATTTCAAAATGCGCATTAGGAGACTCACATTCATTTCAAAAATACCCCTCTGGAAGATGTAAGTCACTACCTGCCTAGGAGAGCTTTATGAGCAGGTCTAAGCCGTTGGAAATACTTGGAAGTTTTCACATGCCAATAATATCTTGTAATGAGCACTGTGATGTGTTCAGTGACCTAGCTAGCTTATATTCCAGTTTTCATTTGAGAAGGAGGTATRTATTTTGTAACTGCAGCTACATAAGGGTTGTTGACTTTGCCAGGACTTATATTTTCTTTCTACCCAACTGTGGAGCGAATTTACATGCATTTATGAAAGGAGGTAGCTCTCTCACAGAATTGTCTTTTGACATCTAGTACAAAAACATAGCCTTAAGCTCCTGCTTTGCTGATCATATAAAATACATAGGAGTTCCTGTCCACAAACAACTGAGGATGCTTGAATTTTTCTCTTCATCTTTTCCTTGAAATACAAAATTTCAGGAATTCCATGCAAAAATGGAAAAAAATATCAGAAGAACTGATCAATTCAAAGTCCATAAATGCTTAGTGCAGGCTGCAATAAGCCAATGAATCTCTGTCCCCCTTGCACACTTATGCTGAGGAACTATTTTTAATGMCATCCCTCTCTGAGGGACTCATTCAAATCCCTGTCCAAATCATCCTTCCCTTTGCATGTGCAAAACTAAGAGTACAATTGCCCTGGAGAACCAAAGCGAAGGGAAAGGCCATGTGCCCAGCGAGTCTCTGCTTTACCCCTCCCAAAGCAGCTGAATTTGTTACTGAATAAAGACTTTGTSCAGTGGAGGGAGAACTGCCTTGTGATGCACTTATCAAGGGGATCGTGCCCCCAGGAAAAGACACATTTCCCCCACAGAAACACTTTCATGTCTCAGCCCTGATACACGAATACGCTGGAGAAGAGCAGCTGGGCCCTCCGTGCTATGGGTCCATGTGGGACCCCCTTCTCTGAGGACTTGCTTTGGTAAATCTGCYTCAACGTCAACTAGCTTCACCAAAGGCATGTGTGAACACAAGACAACGGCCAAGGATGACCRAACACTGGAACGTTAACTTCATTCAGTGATAAAGCCCCGGATTCTGCGCTGCCAAACGGAGACGTGTTGCTTCCCAGCCTCACGGAGATGTGGTGTTACCCTCATTATGGTCTTTGCTATTCACTGAGGCAGAGGCTCTATCCATCAATGAAAAACTATAAGAAAACATTCACCAGGAATGACGCACAGTGAATTTCTGGCATTATCCGCAGGAAAATAAATAAAGAGTATGTCTGTTAAGCACCACCTGTCCTGAACAGTGAAGAAGGCAGGAGTCTGGTGAAAACTGTTAAAATCTGTAATGTATTTGCCTTTGAGGCCTGTTTCGAAGCTGAGAAGAGCTGAAAAAATAAGTTAATGGGCTTGGAAGGAGGAATAGCAGGAAAAAAAAAGACGYAACAGGACTTCTGCTGGAGCAGCACCAGGGCCACACATCCCACTGTTAACACAGGATCACTGTTTTACCTCACTTTCCTCAAACTAAGTTTACTTTTGAAACTGTATTCAAGGTACAACTACCCAGTCCTGCCTCTATATGAATTACAGTTTTTATTGCTAGATGTTAACTGTCATTTTTCCTTTTTCTTCACAGGGAGACCGTAATTATGCAGTGTTTAYGACTACTCTTCTATACAAACAGCTTTCTGATATGCCATGCCCCTCCTGTGAACCCTTGAGAATGCCTATTACATTCAGTGTAGGTAATGAAGATCATTTGTGAGTCTCTAGGCTGATTTTACTTTAAATTCCTTAATTAAACGAGAAACAAAAAATTTAAAACAAGTTAAGTTCTAACATTAAAAAAAAAACCTAAAACACTCCCTCCTCCAAAAGCAGTGTTCTGTATCACAGAAGTACCAATTGTGGCATTGTTTAAAACTTAACAGATACTCAAAACCGTTTAAAATGCAAAGAGCTTTTCAGCTGTCCTCATACTGATCTTCAGTCTGCATACTCTTCAGAGGTGCCACAGAGAATAAAACTTCACAGAGAATTAACAAASAGAGAATTAAACTTTCAGGACCAAGTTGCTTTTGAAGGCATCCAGACATTAGGGATCTGATTCCTTCATAAATTCCATCTCAGCATGTGGACTACATTAAGATATGACATGTGATGCTAAAAGAAATCAGAGATCTAGATTCTGTCCAGCTCTCAAAAATTTTTAACTTACTTACATTTTTGGAGGCAAGGAAGCTCATGCCCTTTGCCACCTGGTAAGAAAAGCTTAGCAGGTCTTCAACATCTAGAGCAAGCTCATCATCTTCCAACATAGAAAGGGTAACATCCTGATCAGTGTAGGATCCTATGCAATACAAACACCAACAGCTTTTGAGTGGACTGTGTATAATCAAATAGAAACAGATTTGTTTTACATTAAACAAAACAATGATCTGAACAAGTACCAGACTAAATCCACAGAAATAACCCATTGCCAAAAAGTAAAAAATAATGCTGGTAGTCCACAGAACTGTGGAAAAATACAACACACTGTAATTTAGCATATTCTTTTTTAATCTTCTCATACCAATGGGTATTAATCGTATTCATCCAACAGCAAACAAGTATTTTAAAAAATTCCATAAACTCCTTCTCTGTGCACTCCAAGAAGCAGACAGATTTCTTGTTATTGTACTTACCAGATTTCACTGGTCTTTTTTTATCAGCTTTTGGTGGGACTGAATACGACACTCCTGGTTTCATGTCCATGTATTCATTGACAACATCGCTGTAAAAGCAGCAGATTAAATGTCATTTAGAGAAAAGTTTCAAAGAAAAAGTCGACCTTAAGCAAACATTCTGAGTAAAATGCTTTACAAAATAATAATATTGGAAAATTACAGGGGTCTAAAAAAGATGAAAAAAKGACTGTAAAGAAAGTGAGGGTTGTCAAGAGAATTTACAATGCATCTCAAAGGCTGGATTTTGGCTCTGGTAGGTAAACAAAACCTTTCACGTGTGCACTGTTTATCAAGACTAGAGTCTCTATAAATGAGCAGCCACATGTTTCATAGGATCTGCTAATGTTTCCTTCTTTTATCTAGGCCAACTTCTATCTCAGTGATTCAYGTGGCATGCAGAAGACAAAATGGCTAAAAGGTTGAATTCAAAGCTTCCTGAGTTYGAAGGAAGATTCCTGATATCCAAAGGACAAATTTCAAAGAATCAGCCAAGGTCTGGGACAGCGATCTGCTACGTTTTTATAGATTTCAGCTTTCTTATTGCTTATTTTCTTACTTATAATTCAGCAGTACAGATTTTTATACTATATATGGTTTATAAATAAAAAGGTTAGGCCCTTTTAGAAGCAATGGATGGACTTCAGTGTTTTTCATTTAGATGAACAAAAACCTGGCATTAAAACTCACATATATAGATGGCCCTTCTCCATCCTGAGGTATCTGTTTACTTTAGGAACAACAAATGCAGCCACAGAGCTAACGTGGAAAGTAGTTATGAGATCACCAATAGCTCTAGTCATCACCAAACCACAAGCATTTCCAGAGTGCTTAGCAGCTGCAACTTTACAATAAAAGCGAATATGAGAATTTGGTAAAGGCACCACTGTTGTTGTGTTCAGAAGAGGAAGGAGATACACCTGTGGAAAACCATGGCTTCACATTCCTAATGAAAAGGAGTAATTTCTTCAAAGCCATCTGTGGTAGGATGGACTAGCTGCTCATTATATTGCCATTGCCTGTACAGCCTTGCTGTGAATATGTCTTGCTGGGACAAGGAGCACTGAAGGCACCCACACTAAAACCAAAAATGGAAGGATTATTGTAATAGACCTTGGGTTTTGGCAAATGATTTCTCTTTTTACTTTCTAAAAGGAAATCTGTGAGCAGGAAATGTGCTTGGAAATGTACTCGGAGAGAATACCAGGCTTGTAAAAATGGAACAGTGAAAAATATACAGATGAAGTAACTAGAAAGTACAAAAGAGCAAGCTCCGAATGGTGACATTGGTTGCATTATCACCAAGTCTAGTGAACCATGAGCAATAGGCGGCCTCTGATACAGTAAGGCTCTGTTTTTGTTGTAAAAAGTCATTTCTGCAGGCAGGAACTTAGGGGAGCTCAGAACATTACCACCACAACACGGGGTGAATTGTCATTCAAGCTGCTAAATGACTGTTGCCAACGATTAGCAGCAATGATAAACACAAATACATATTAAGATTAGAGCCAAGGAGTTGCGTGAAATAACTACAGGAAATTTGATAAAAGAAGTAAAACACARAGTGCATACAATGAATTGAGCTCTGTTCGAATAAACCACCCACTGTACAAACGGTCTCTTTTAATAAATTGCTTTCTCGCACAGCAAAGAAGCTTCACAGCCTTCTGCAGGAAAGGCTTCTCCAATTTTCTTATCGCTAATGAACTTTGATACACCCTCCTTCTGTGTTTCTCAAAATGCAGGAGCATTTCAGCGGGTCACACTTACGCTGCGGGCTCTGTCTGATGCAACAAGTTCTCATAAACTGCCGTTTCTGTGTGCTCTTCATGTTTTGGACAAATAAATGAATCTCGTTTCCGCCTCAGAAAATTCAAAAGATCACCATAGCAGCAATACTCTGTAATCACCAGAGTGGGACCTGCCGATGTATGTGAGGTTGAGAGAGCAGGTTAGCATTGTTTTCAAAGCATAAAACCTTCTGTAAAAATAACATCCAGCTAAACACACAAGCTGCACTATTAAAAATCACACTACCCAACACTGTCTAGACTTGGAAAGTTATAGGAAAATAGCCTCCTACATCCTCCCTTTCACAGATCTGTAACTATTGTCCAGCTAAAGCTGTGTCACTCCCAATTAATTTTCCTCTCCTCTCAATAGCATTGCATTATACAAAAATTAAACAAATAAGTCCTTTTCCCTCTCTTCATGCGATAATGTTTCTGGCCAGACACATCTGTTTGATTTTGTTCACTTCCTGAAGGAAGTTATTTGTTCCAAACGTTAGAGTAATTCAAGCTTCAAACATTAATCCTTTTGATTCACTTCTGTTTACAGTAGAGCTTCACACTCCTTCAGTAATGTTTTGGAAATGATGTAGAGTGTTATATTCTGCAGTATAATAGGAAAAATCATTCAAACAGAACAGCCTGCTGAGACAGAAAACTACATCGCAAAAGGTCCTAGAATATTAAAATGAAACCTAAAAGGAGAATCAAGTCGTCTCCAGTGCGGATGTTTATAGATCAGATATATGTTTTCTGAGTGAATGACTACAGCTATGACACCTGAATATGTAATCATGCTGAATGTTTCTTCTTCTGTAAGGTTCCTCCCCTCCACCGTTTCCTAAACTTAACAATTTATTTCTATTTTTTCTGCATTTAATAATTACAGGTTTCATAACACCAAAAACAGTGATTATCTCAGGATTTTCTTAGAGTCCCCATGGTTTTGCAGCTGTCTGAAATAGATATGCACTTAGGCCAGTGAGTCTGCTTTGCTGATCACTTAAACAAAATTGCTTTATCCTATTTTTAAACCATTAAATTTGAAAGTGAGAAATGCTGTGCTTGTCTGAAGAGCTGAATTTTTCTAAGCTCGTTTTCTTTGAGAAATGGAACAAAACCTTGGAAAGCAAATATTTCTGTACAAAAGAATGTCATCTTGTTATTAAAATGCACATAAATTAAAATGAGTGTTACGGTTTTTAAGGAAAAGAACTACATCCACTCTGTATTGACATTTCAGCTGTTTATAGCTTTTACTGTATCAGAAAATAAACGTATTACACATAATAATATTGATGTATAATGTTATAATGTTAATGTCAATATTCTTGAACATAAAACATTCGAGCCATGTAGTACTATTTATCTGGGGAATTCTTTTACTCTTTTTTATCATTTAGATTTTTAACTTTAATGGCGCCTTAAATACTCCTAACAGTTTAAGCAGAACACTGGGGGATGAGACAAGATGAGCCTGTTGACTTCATCTTGGATGCCAACAAGCAACCAATTCACAGATCTTCTCTAATATCTGAGAAACAGGGCACTGGAGAAAAACTTAAGTCATATATGACGATAGCCACGATGAGCAGTGAACTGCCTAAGCAAATATTTCAGACTTCCATACTTAGCAGTATTGTATTCTTCTTCTCAAGGTTTCTCCTGACTACAAACAACAACAACAAAAAAGGAACAGGAAAAAAAGAAATCTATAAGCTGTTGATAACCCTACCTCCAATAGTGCAAGCTCCAAGAAGATTCACAATATTAATGTGGTTACCGAGGTAACTCAGGACTTTAAGCTCTGACATCAAAGCTTCTCTTTCTGTTAAATGGGCACTTGCTGCAAGGCAAAATACAATGTTTAGTAAATAAGACTTCCCACCAGAAGGAAGTTGGAAAAAATATGTGTATTTCAGTGACTTACGCTTCAACATTTTTACTGCCACTGTCATAGCAGCGTCAGATTTAAACAGACCATAAGCAGTGGCTTCGACAACCTTTCCAAAAGCTCCAGCACCGAGAGTTTTACCTAATAAACACAACAAAATACATCATTACAACCTGGAACACTTCTTCATAAAGGTTTAACRTTTCACTTTACGGTATTAAGGCAGCTATTCTAGATATGCTTTTTCTCCTAAGGTGTAAGCAACTATCACTACGTTCATTACTGCGCAACATCTTTTTGACCAAACCCTGCTGTATTTGACCACGAGTCCCTTTCAGAAGCCCAGAAAGCTTCACCTTGCAGATGAAGTTATATAAACCTAAACTAACCAAAACTCAGCCGGTTTCTAGGAAATTCCCATTTGTGATCATAAGGAAGTTGCGTCGGGTCTATGTAAACATAGTTGTTCCCATTTATTTCTTCAACAACTTTCCACTGAACTTCATATTTCGGTTTCTGGAAAGGAGAGAAAGGCTGTCACTACTAAAGCATTTGCAGATGCTTCATACCCGTTAGCAACCCAGGCAAAGAAGCTTTGCATATTACCTGCAGATATATGTACACCAGAATCATGACTATTATGCACATCAGTCCTGCAGCTACTCCAAAMGCTATCAGCAAAGGTGTGAAAAGCGTATGGGTACGGATTTGTTCTGGAAAGAAACAGAAAATTCTGCTTAAATATTGAATAAAAAAAAAGTTATTAAAAAGATTCAAGAGAATTTTTTTTTTCTGGTTCTTTTGTGTTGGACAAGGTTTGGGGCTTTGTCTTTCCCAGATGTGTTTTAAATGTATCAGGACGAYTTTCCTGAGTGAATTCGAAGGACAGACAGGAACCAAGGAGTTTGTTTCTTCACCAGTCTCAATTTCTTCAAGTTAGAAGTCACGAAGCCAAGACCAGTTAATGCAGAGCTTCATATGGCCACAGTCAAAATAAAAGCAGATGCTTATGAGTGAGACTTCTCTTAAAATCCACTTTTCCAAGTGTGCTCTCTACAATGTATTCCTGGCAAACAGAGGCTATACAAAGTAGTAAAAGGAAGACTATCGCCACAAAATAAATATGCCCCAAATCTGGCTTGTTTATATGTTATCCCTGTGTATCACAAAGAGGAAAGAAAAAAGAAAAAAAAGCTGAATATTTGATTTTGTAGAGAAAAGGAAAGATTTGCAAACATGYTCCAGCTAATCTCTGTTTGAGTTTTGTTTTATTTTTGCAAACTCACAAATATTGCCAGAGATGACAGAACCCTTAAGAACTTCTGCAGCATGTTGTTGTTACTTCTTTTACAAGACCAGGGCCTGCAGGCTSTAGTCAAGCTTAAGACCCCATCTTCCTAAGACACTGTAATATCAGAAAAAAAAAATGCAGTGTTTCCTTGAGAGACCTGATTGCCTGCACAGGACAAAGAGAGAAAAAGAGAACGGAGGGAGCCGCTCACTGCAGTGCTGCAGGTGGTTTGTCTCTGAGCTAGGTCACACTGCAGACAGAAGAACAACAGGTAATGGTCATGCTGCAGTTTTGAAGCAGTTAACAGACTACACCACAGTATTTATTGAAAAATGAAAAGTAATGCATTGACAGCCAGAAAACGTAGTCTAATCTGTTATCATGCACTCAGCCATAGCAAGCTTTATTATGGTAAACGTAACACACTGAACATACTAATTCTCCTATGATAGCAAGAGCTGAATGGCACCAACGTTTGTTGTGGTTTATACCATAGTCTCACTCATTTTAGCCACTACCTTTAATAGCAAAGTTGAAAAAAGCAGAACTCTTGTCCCCGTTGCTGGAGGCCTCGCAGCACACGGTGCCGGTGCTCCGGAACATGCTCACGTTGATGGTGCTCTCAACCAGGATCCTTTCGAAGGACGGCACTGAGGAATTGGTGTAACTGATCTTCACATCCATGGGGGATACTGTTGGTGAATCGAAACACCTGGGAGAAACAACACTGATAATTACCTGCCCCGAGTTACTATCCAGAAGGAATGACAGGTTGCCCTGTTAAGGGAGATGGTCTCTGACAGATCCTTAGCTAATGACTAAGTGACACAGCTCCAAAACCAGAATGAGCTGAAGCTGAAGATCTTACCCTTGACTCTTAGTCTACTCAGGATGTCTCATTCTCTCCCACGCAGTGGGTGTGATGGGTTCATATATCAGGATGCAAAGGACACAAGTCTTTGCATTCTCCTTTGGCTAGAAACACCCACRTGTCTGCAAGCCCCTCATGGCCTTTGCCCTGTGGAACCGGCACCTTCAGCAACATTTTCAAGCAGCTCTCTGTGGTCTCTTCTACTCTTGAAGACTTTCCCCAAGCACTGTCTTACTACAGCATAAAATATCATAAATATATGAAATATATATGCAGCACCACTATGGTTACATGTGGCAGAACACAGACATTTTTGCTCTTTCAAGCTGCTACCTACCACCTTTTTTTGCTAAGAAACTGGCCATGGACTAGTTAAAAAGTATTTATCCTTTTTTTTTTTTAAGTAGCAACTACATGAACACACAGTTAAGATAAGCTGTACTGCTTATTAAAAAATAGAAAAATAAGAATTATTTTAGGCAAAGATAAATTATGTAGGTGGGAAATATATGATTTGATAGTATAAGATCTAACATCACAGTGGAAACTGAAGAAAACCTCAAAACAGGCTTCACACATATTCACTTCACAGGGAAACTCTACAATCTTTTTGGAAACCTGGTAATTAGACATCAAGTTTTATTCTTAATAACTCCAGACTTGTTTACCCTGTCATTTGAATAGAACAGAAATCTAATTACTTTGTGTCGTGGAAAATCACACCACTACACAATAAAACAAAAGATAACAGCCATATTCACAAGTGATTCTGCAACTGTCACTCCATGAAATTACATACAGAATGTGTGTCATGTAGGGCCAAACTGATATAAACCTTTCAAAGTCAGCTGGTGTAATGCAGAGAGAAAGTCTGGCTTTTGCTTTTCCGCAGCAGAAAATGTTATTATTCCTCCTCTGGGGCGAATGCAATGGGGAGTAATGAAGCATACTCCTCCCTTCTCCTCAAACCACTGTAAATAATGCAATACCTAAAAWTGATAAAATCAGTAATGCAATATTTGAGCATACCTGTTACCAAGCTATTTTACACTCCTGGTTTTAAATCATAAATTGCATGAATGACATCTAGAAAAATGTCTGGAGACTCTGGTTACTTAACTCACCTCTGTTCAGTCCCTGGGCAAAAATACCAGTATATGGTAGGGGCTGGGAAGCCAGCTGCTACGCACTGCAGAATATCATTGCTAAGTATATCCAAAGTGAGGATCTCTGGTTTTGCTGCAATAAACACAAATGATAGTCATATATCAGAGGAAGGCAAAATTTGCATTGCCATTTGTTCTTCCCCTCAGCAACTTATGTGCATTACAACCCATGGGATTACTTAAGTGAACTGAGTTTTACATGTTCAAGGGTGTCTGGKCCTGTCTCTTCCACGTCACCGCTGCTAGCAGTGACTATCTGCAAATTTGTGAAAATATATTCAAATTCTTATATTGAATGATTAGATCGGATTTCAAAAGAGCATTTTACCTCACCTATGCATTTGGCTTGATGGAAATCTCAGAATAGCAAAGGCAAGGAGCTTGATATACCAMAGAATTTTGTGGTTTTGAACCATAATACAGTTCTGGTTCCTGTGTTGGGTGACTTTACTACTATGTATGGAGGACAGTTTCTTCACAGTTGTAAGTGTACTATATCTGTCAAATCACACCTCCTCAAAGAAAGCAACAGCACTGCAATGCAACTAATACTTACACAGATGCACAGGACATCAAAAACTTGGAACATATTCCCACAGTCACAACCCATCCCCATCCCCACGGCAGGGCTGACTGATGTCCCATGAAAGTACCGCTCTGCGAATGCCGAAGTTGTCGAAACACTGCTTATTTAGGAAGCTAATATTTGGGAGGATATATCTGGCTTTCTAAGCTATAATTCATAATTGCCCAGTGAGTTTACAAAACAACTCAGTCAGCTGATTCCCACTAAGCTTTATTGCACTGGTTCTATCGCTGCACTGGTTTGAGGAGCTGCTGTTTTGAGTAAGGGAGGAAAACAGAGGGAATAAAAAAAAAACAGGCTGAGCAGACATTAGTCCTATGTYAGACCTCCTCAAAAAACAAGTGGACTAACAACATAATTCTGACCAATGTTAGGAAGATTTATTTCATGAATAACTTGAATTAGAGGCCTCATTTCCCATACCTACCTTAGTTTCCTTTCAAATTATGAAAAAGATATTAATGGAAGAGCCAGGCTATATTCCAAAGATATTTCTCAACTGGCAGGTATGGATTAAAAGCTCATTATCAATTAATATAAATTTACAGGTATGTAGGATCGACTTCTAATGTCCTGGAAAGCTGTGGAACTGTACTGACTACTGTGGGGAAAAGCAGATGGACCCCAGGAAAATATATTCTCTCTCCATCACATACCCTCTACACATGACTCATGTTACAGGAACGGAGTGTTCTCTGATTTCTAAATGTGCCTGTTGTGTTTTATGCTAACCCCCAGGAAACACACACTGCAGAGCGTCGAGGCGGGCTGCCAGCCTCACTCGGCTGCTGCAGGACCTTCTGGTAGTGCACATCTCCAGCACGGTGAGAGTCCAGGCACGTGCCCGCTTTGACTTTCTGAAACTCAGGTTAGAAACGGCTGAATTCTGAGCTTTTCACGAGCCACGTGGATGGGGCTAGCGTGGCTGCGGCTTTGCAGCCGGCTCCCATTCAGATGGGCAGCGAGAGCTCAGCATGGGCCAAACATGGCAGGACACATTGATGTGTCCTGCTGAACACAGCGGAGATGAGGGTTGCGTGAAAGGAGGCGGCCGTTCTCACAGCCAGCCCAACCCTAGGCTGGCTCAGGCCACACACAACTCGTTACACCTGCACCAGCCACGGGGACTTGTCCTCCTCGGGGGAGCTGCAGGTGCCCCCGGCTGTCTAGGAGCAACACGGGCACACAGAGGGGCAAAGCTGTCACTAAATGATCTTCTGGGAAGAGATTTTGCTCTGAAAGAGGTTTGATGATATTCACAGCCTAATTATCCCCAGTATTAGGCAGGCTCTTAATGCCTATTCATTGCTTACTGCTCTGGCTTTAACCCTTTAAATATTTAATGCTGCTTTAAATTGCTCGGTATATATGCATATTCTGCTCCATAATCAGGCATTAGATGTCTTAAACCCCTAATTTCATTAAGTTTATTAACTGCTTCTCAGCATTTATTGATGTTGAGTCTGAACGCAGCAAAAAGGATTTGTAAGAGGCCGCTCCTATTTTAACTCAATGTTCTGTACGATAACATTGTTAATTTAATTACTTTTTATTATCAATTTCCCTTTTTTCTATCATTAGCATAGGAAAATAAATGTCACAAAAGTAACATTTAATTGCTCTTGTCTGCCATTACAGTCAAAGAAAGGAAACCTTCTTCCTCGAGCAACATTTTCCGGATTGGAATAAATCTTTTTATAATATCACGGTGACTTTGCATATGTTCTCTACATATTCCAATGACAGAAAAAATGCTGAGTTTGGCTTCAGGGAACCTGTAATATTGTGACTGCTTTTCTCTTTGCGGTATGAGACCTGCATAGACAATATTTTGTTKACTCTAATTAAGCCCAGACACTATTTTGCACTAAACTTAGAAGCTAGTTTGAAAATTTCTCCTCGACGCATTGTAGTTTGCCACTCTGGAGATTTCTACAATTCCTTAATTATTCTCAGTTCAGAATGCTGTTTGTCAAGTTGTAATTTTATTTTTGGCTCTTAATTTTAGAGCTCTTTTCTTACCTACTTTGTCATATTTACTGTGCCTAACTGCCTTTTTTTTCCCCCTCTCTCCAATTTAGTATTGTTTCAGGTTAGCATGTGCAACTGCTRAAGATACTTATATCCAAGGCAAGAYCGCAGCACGCTTCAGCCTCGATTTTTGTTTATGTGAAGACAGTCTCCTCCTGATTACAAATCCTGCTCTACCTGTTTGATTACCTTCTGCTGATTACTTGTCCAAGCCAGATGTGTAAACATCAGAAGCCACATCCTGGCAATTTATGCAAAATCCCCACCGACTGCAACATCAGGTCAGAACACACAATTAGATCAGCATCTGACCCAGCCACACACCAGACTCGCCTTTGGCAGCTACGTTGCTATTTCAAATAATAGGCTATGCTGTTATGTACTTTGGGCTTCATACCGAAGTGATGAGCATTGGATGAGCCACTGAAAAGAGGAGGACTGCTTGTGTGTGTGTTTTTCTCCCTCTGGTTGAAGGCAACAAATTTTCCATCTTAGCAATGTCCATAATCCATCCAGGGATGCAGTGCATGGTCACCCAGGCTAAATGTCTTCCCTTTTAGGACTGGACCTTTACTAGTCACAAGACCCGGGGCTGAAGGAAGAAGGCAGGAGATGCAAATACTGCTGCTTGTCAGCACAGATGATTCAGGAGAAGGAATTCATTTATGCCTTCTCCTGCCTTGGCTCTTTTGCTGCACCACGATGTTCTTGTGGCTGGTTTGCTACAGGGAYTATGAACTTTTATTTGTATCAATTAGCAGATGCCTAAAAACTATCGAAAAGGAGCTGTGCGCTGAGAACTGAAACCTGGGAATGGCAAAACTGCTTTTCCTGGTCTTCCTGCCCAGGCTGCTCCCATGCATGCTGCAGATAGAGCCCGGGAGAGCTGAGGGACAGGCTGCAGAGCATGCACGGTGCTCAGCACTCACAGCCCTTGCTCCACAGATGCCTCAAGGCAGAAAACGCCATCCAGCCTCATGGGAACCAATAGCCCCATCAACAACTTGCAATCTCTTACCAGAAATTAGACTTTACGCTTACCAATTTGCTTCTCTAGTCTGTTAAGGCAGTGGAACTACCCCTTGTGACTGTGGCCTACACTTACCCTCAGGGGTGAAGGGTATCTGTTGCCAAGGGCAGTGCCCTCAACTCAGAAATTACAGGTAAGGAATGGRAAAAGGCACTGCAATTCAAATGAGTACATTGGCAGAGCAAGGATCAAGGTAGAAATACAATAGTCCAACAAGAGCCCAAGCATTTCCAGGCCCAAACTACAGAGCTCCAAATRGTTCAAGTATCTACTACAAGCATCACTTCAATGATCAACAGGAAGAGTTCAGAAATGGCTACACAGACTTCAGCACGTATGTGGAAATCTGAGCAATCCTCTGCAGAATCCCACACCGAGGGAAGGATATATTGCTGCTGAAACACAAAAGCACAGAACTGTATCTGCAGCATATTCACTTATCTCCTACAGAGATCCTCCTGCTGGGCTTGAAAGCACCATTGCCTGCCTCACCTTAGTTTCCCCAGCTTGCCTGCAGCGCCTTCCTGATTTAATTTTTCTTAAACTTGGCCTTTAGTAGCTACCAATATTTGTCTGCTGAAAGCATGAAATTCTCTTTTCTAAAGAAGACACCAATTCCAAGGTTTCATTTAATTTATTTTTGAGTTAAGCTTTTGCCTTGAAGAATTGAGAAATTTTGCCTTGAAGAGCTGCTGTTTGGAATTGAGACTGATACTCCTGCTTTAAAAGTGTGTCTTAAAAGACGACAGCCTGCGCATTTCTCAAGCTAGGGAGACTCTCTAAAATAATGCAGATCTACATTATTATATAGATGGATTCAGATGCCAAAAGGCACAACTGAATAATCCTCCTGACTAGCTTTCAAATTCTGCATCTAACTCAAACAAATTAAAGACAATTAATAGCTTAGTTTGGCTGCCAGAAATGCAAATTACAGAGCTAATCGCCGTATACCTACCCCACCTTAAATTACCAGAGGTTTATGGTACACGCTTATTTGTGGGACTGTCTTTCTGGGTGCTTCAGGTTTTTTTTACATAAACTATCTATCTGTTCTCCAGTAACCTCTGGAACATACTTGCAGCAATGTAAGGTCATGCTGGGTAGTAGGCGGATCTGTGTAAGTAYTCCACATTTTTATATCTTGACATTTAAATAATTTTACAGAGTGTGCTTCACGTCAGACATCTTCTCATATGCTGAACCACACTGTGACATCTTGTGCATACATTATGTTGTRTAAAATACAATGATTGTGGTAATGAAATATTTCAGATTGTTCACTTTACTTACTTTTCACATAGACATTGAACGTTACAGAGGAGCTGGCATCAGAATTGGACACAAAGAATGTGTAAATGCCTCCTTCTGTTCCCTTTAATCGGGTAAGGTGAAGTTCACTTGTGTAGCTGCAAAGAAGAAATTAAGCATTACTGACACTTACAACGTGTGGTGATCCTATCAGCCCAGGGTATTCCCACAGAGAGAACTAAGTGAATTATTAATGTGCTGCCTTCTGCACACCCTGTCCATGCAGACACTCATTCTAGGGCTGTGTTTGTTCTCTGGAGTAGAAGATTCCCTATATGTCAGGTCCAGATGTGTGGGCAGCCTGTGTCCCAGCTCAGCACCAGGCTCTGCAGGGACTCTGCACACCCACCGCCTCCTGCTCCTCTACCTGCTGAAGGGGGAACCTGGGGCACACAACCCAGGCCACACGTGCTAGCTGCTTCACTCCATTCCTAGTGGACCAGGGCTAAGAAAAGTGCCCAGTGCTGAGAAAAATGCATATAAATATATATAAATAACATATACATACATATACACACACATTTTTATTTACATATAAATAAAATCTTTTTCCAGAGCATGGTATTCTGGTAGTGGAGTGAGTCTTCACAGGCAAACAACTTGAAATTTGTACTTTTGCTTACTGGGCAGCAACGTCATCATGTGGACCAGTCACAACACATGTGGCACAGTTTACTATTACAGTGAAGTTTATTATTATTCCAAATTTAAGTTTGGTGACTTTGCACCACTAAAGCTGGTAATGCAGATAAACTACAATATCTTTCTAAATTAAACCTTGCCCTTACACACCCAGACGCACAGAGGGAACCAAGCACAAGGAGAGACAAAATCTCTGCACAAACCCTGGRCATGCAGAGGAGTGTCCCCTGCATCCCAAACTCAGGATGAAGGGAGCRGGGAAGGATTTACAGGATTTACTTCACTTTCTCTTCATCTTCACTCTCCTCTATCCAGAGGAGAGTCTCGTTTGCTGTTTCAAAGGGAAATCAATAGCACTTACAATTGTTCTCATTACCTGTTATTGCCCACAGTCTTGAATTTGACATAATGATCTGAAGAATTCTGCAGTGTTTCGTTCATGTACATCCACACTTCTTCCTTCGGTTTTGGATATGCCTCATATTCAACTGTTAAATTTCCRTTTTGTCCTGCATTGATATCTATTGTGGTATTCATTGTTGCAAGCAAACGGATAAATCCTTTAGCTGATGGCCATAATAGGGAAAAAAAAAAGAAAAAAAAAAAAAGGAGTATTAGAGCCATTTAGAGGATTGTCAGCAACCCTAACCACATTTACACTGCTTAAAGATCAGTGATCAAACATCCAGCTGTGAAACAGGAAACTTTATCTAGGAAGCAGAACTTGAACTCTCACCTGCTATAACCAAGACCACTAGCTCGATATAGTAACGAGGCACAGAACATAAAGCAGCTTTGAGTGCTTTAATAGAAATAATTCCATCTTCTGGTGCTAAATATCCTTTATTTGGATTTGGAAGAATGCAAGTACATGCTCAATTCTACTCCATCTTTATTCTTATTCCAAAAAATCAGAACTAATGACTGTATGGCAGGGAAAAACCACCAAGAACAAGAGACWTTGATCATTTATGTCAATATAGTATTTAACATTACTTTGTCAAGTGTAATTAAGAATGACATTACAAATGAAGCTATTAAAAACCATAATTAGAGAAAAATATGCTAAGTCAATAGGGCTGTACACCAACTGCCTTAAACTAAGGCATTTCTGTTCATCTGCTGCTGGGTCTTCTGGTTTTTATTTGGCAGATACCTTTTATCACTGTGTGCTTCCACTCCAAAGTATCATGTGGGGTAACATCCTTATTTCAGTGAGTTTAGTTTCATTAATAAGTTTTAGTCTTAGCTTATTTGAAAGACAATTTTTTGAGTCTTACACAAATTCGCTGGAATTACCAGCTTGATAGACAGAGTGCAACCAAAGGAAAATGTTTACTAAAAGAACTTGAATCCTGAACAAAAGTCAGTCTCAGATCTTTGCCTCTGCCCACGCTTTAGTAATCCAACTGGCCAGCTAGTCACCTCAGCTCATATAAACTAGAGCTAACAGGCCTTGCAGAGTTTGCAAAGCACTTAGAAGATGCTTCCGAGGAGGAAGGAAGATGTTAATGTGCAGAATGTGCAGCAGGCAAGTATGGTCTAAAGAGGGAAAAAAAACAAACAAGGTAGCATTAAAAAAGAGTAAAAGTTTAAAATCCGGAAACCTAGGATTTCTGATTTGTTTGCAAATCTCTTTTCTGTTCTCTCTATAAACACTGAATCTCCCCTTGAAGCTAAATCAAGATTGTAACCAAGAGCCTGCAAATAAAATTTTATGATCATGCTATCAGTCACCCAAACAGAATTTTAGAAATTGCTTATGCTTAGATCAACTGCTAAACAAAGAATTATGAAATTTATCACTACACTCATTATTTCTCATAAATCTTGTGGCTAACATTAAAGCCACAGTAATTTAGAATCTGATACAATCTCAAGGATCTCTCCCATATGTTCTTATGCCATTTTCCATGATTGTGGGAGCTGGCACAGTTAAGATAAATATAGTAAATGTGACAATGAATGGTGAAAGGAATAAAGAGAGATGGTTTATTTTAATTTAGGCCAAATATAAGAGGTTTGTGGGAGACAATTCTTGTGAAAATTAAAGGTTTCAGTTTTTCTCTCATTTTTAATTGAACGGACACCTTGTATTTCACTAAATACAAACCTACTAATACATTTTCCACTTTTTATAATGCTATGCTCATTATATTTTAGTCATCAGACTTTCCAAAGTGACTCCTTATTTTAAGACCACATTTGCATACATTGTAGCACTAAGAATGTCTGTAGTAAAGAACTCCCCTTCACTTAYAATGGCAGCTTTCACATTATTCCCCTTGGAGAAAAGGCATTCTGTTAGACTTAACACTGTTTCTCTGTCTTAAATATGAATTCAGTCTCCCTTGTAGCAAGTGAGAAGAACATTACCAAGAACATTACCACTGCTATGAGCCTTYGCCTTTCCAATGGTGCAGCACTCAAAGCCCTTGAGTGTGCACAAACCTCTGGAGTTGTGCTCAAGATGTAACCCACACAACYCAGAGGTATCTGTTTTCTTTAAAGTTCCTTGGGAAAGCCAAACAAGCCATCCCAAAGGAATATTTGTGCAAGAGAAGAACAGTTTTGAGAAGGAAAGAACAAAGGGACAGTCACCCAAAGCAAGCTGGCAATTTCACAGCTACACCTCCTTCAGCTTCTAGGTCCTTCGAAGGTGAGGAGCTGAAGTTGTTTCAGCCAACTACACAGACTTGCTCAGAAGCCTCTAATCAAGTACATCAGCATGTTCCCCAATTAGTTTAGCAAATCAGCACTTTTTTGGAGGTCTTAATATTTAAATATCAGTGTGTCATCCAAGTTAGTACATAAATTTTATGGGGAGGTCCAAATAAACCTGTTATTAAACACAAAAAGGAAGGGAGTTCACTATTTTCAAGGGCATAACCCAAAACCTATGGAAGTGACAAATAGTGGACTCACCACTACGGCAGGGCTGGAGCAATTGCATGCTGCCTGTGCRTCCTGCAGTGTTGCTCATGGTATTCTTTTAGGCAAAAATAAGTTTACAGTTTCTCCTACATAAAAATCACTGACGTGTCGATGTCAGCGAAACTTCCCATGCTTAGCATGCAGGTATTAAAGATACGCTTTGTGCTTGAGCTGCCAAATTACTTAAGCGTAGGGATAATACCAAGCAAAGGTAAATTACTTGCTTCATTAAGACAGGATTAAATTTAAAATTAAACCAGGAAGGATGACACAAACCAGAGAGATAGAAGCACTGTTGGGTGGTTCTTCTAATATCACATTCCATTAGCATGCAAGGGGGTACAGAAATTAAGGCAGTCATACAGAGCTCAGCAACCACTGCACCATCCCAGTACAGCACCAGTCAGCAGTAACCTTTTAATAAGCGACTTCACTGGTTCAGGCTTTCAGAAAGGAGAGGAAGGCTACCCACCGTTTTCATTTTCTACCTCCCACTCTTAGAAACACTACATTTTTCCAAAAACAACTTACCTAGCGCTTTCAAGGTTACTGTGGCATTGGTTTTTCCAAAAGGGTTTTCTGCCTGGCATGTGAATTCTCCAGAATCATTAACTCCCACTGAACGGATGTTCAATGTTAATTTCCTCTCGTATCCATAATCACCCAAATTTCTGCTTTTGCTTGTAACAATCTGTCGGTAAAAAACAATTAACATCTAAAATACTGTGTATGCTGCATCTTTCCTAGATAAATTAAAAATAGAAGTAATTATAACTTTGCTATATTAATATTCATAACTTTAAACCGGAATAATAAGCCATCATGACAAACCTGTCACTAGACTCTCTCCATGCAAACAAGTATATGCTCAGCTCTCTTYGAGAGATAACATCCTTCCCTAAGCTATATGCCCTCCCCTTATTCTTTATTGGTTTTCCTCCTCAAAAATCTACCCTAAATGCACACTTGCAATGCTTCCAGCAGCAGGGCTTGATGCAAGATGACCATTCTACATTGACTTTGATAACAATCAAAACCTGCAGCTAATGAAAAAAAGTGGCTGTAATCTTAAAGCATGGTTTAGCCTGCTTTAAAGCAGGGCGTAAAGTCACAGAATTCTCCAGTGATGGCAGCTGGTCTCAGAGAAATACAAGGGAGAGGGAATTTAAGGTGCTGGGGCTGAGTTTTGAGTAGGATCACTTTATGGCACTGCTCTGCGGTGCTTCTTTCCTTGCAAACAAGCTGCAGGGAGAAGTGCTGGAGATCTATGTAACATGGCACCTTCCCTCTGGAATTGTTGGCTTCTCAGTCCATGAAAACCAKATTTATTAACCCTACAGACAACTGGAAACATCATTCTGTTCTCAAAACACTTTGTATAGGATAAGGTCTATGTAACCATGCTGGAAACTAAAGGAAAAATAAGTGCGCTGACCTCTTGACTTTGGTTTCCACAAGAAAGTTCAGCTTGGTTGGGAAGACTAATAAAGCTGCACTGATTAGTACAAACCCAGATCTGAACTTGTTATGATTTTCCAGTGCTATTATTTCAAACGTTGGAGATGCCAAGAGGTCCTAGATAAATTTCACCTGTTCAACACAGAGTTTTGATTCCTTGTGAGCTATAATAATCACAAACTGAAGTTTGTTTTGTATGGTTGTACTTGCTTATAACAAATGTTGTAATTTCAAAAGCAGTGATGGCTTCTATCATAACAGGAAAAATATTTTTTAGATATTTCCTTTTTTTTTTTTTTAAACTTTGACCTATTTTTACTTTATATATATATATAAATGAATATTTATATATATATAAACTTTGACCTATTCAGGACAAAATATAATTTGGCTTCTATTTAAACTTTATTTTAATGTATACTGTTTCAGTACAAAATTTAATTTGATAGAGAGCATCTCCTGCTATTTACCAGAAAGGTCAAACTTATTTGGTCAAAAATATTTTTCTCGTGGCTTTTAGTCATAAATGAAAAGTGATAAAGTACAAAACCCGAAAAGGAATACCCCAAGTTCACCACACTGCAACAAAGAAAAGGGGGGTAAACAAGGGGAAAATTAAGTGTTCAGCTGAAAGATTGACAGTTGACCCTGGCACAGGACCAAAAATCCCATCTGCAGGTCCCACGCTGCCTCCATGTCATTTAGACCTCTTTAACCCTTGGAGCTGTGACATGGGATTTCTCGAGCAGCGAGCACTCAGCAAGAGCAGATCTGCCAGAGCCGGCGGATTAGCTAAGCACGGCAAACAGAACCCAAGGGAACCGGGCTCCAGCTCGCTATTTGCCTGAGGACATGTGATGTATCTGAACACCACAGTATCACAGAGGCCTTTTTTTTCTCCATACACACGTGGACTGCGAATTACGTATTCCAGTCACTACCATTAACAGTAAAAAAAAGGGCCAATTAGCATGGGAACTTATATGGGAGCAGTTACTAACGAGCCTTCAGAGGAGCTTTTAATTCATTTCCATTTCATGGTATACCCAGAAGACTAAAAAGCGATTTTGCAAACAAGCCAGCATCTGCTGCCATTTGGGCCATTCTTACTATTTTTCAGCAAGGAACTTGACTATTTTACAATACGGAGCCTGCACCTCAAACATGCAGCACCTGGGGTGACCAGGGCACAGGATCTCCCTCTAGCTCCCATTTCTCCAAAGCAGCTATGCAGTCAGGAGCAAACACTCCTGGAGCACTCAGCTCGCCAATAATCAAATTCGGTAATCACACAGAACTCACACTATCATTACAGACAGTAGCCAGCTCATYGGTTCATTTTTGTCAACTTTTGCAGTTAGCAAGGCATACTGTGTAATTTAAGTGAATTAATCACTCTGAACGCTTACTACTATTCCTGAGGCACACCATCCCATACTAATTAGCAGGTATTTCACTGCTAATGGTAGTGACTAGAATTTGCAATTTGGAGTCCATGTGTTGTTACTTGAGGCTCCCATTGATTGCAAGGCGATGTGCAGGCACTCCATGCTCTTGGTAGCCTTGCAGAGGTCACCCAAACTTCACACTGAAAAGCCTAACTTCAGTGTCTGCAATTTGGGACAACTGTTGGGCAGACGCTGTCCCTGCCAGCCACATTCAACGATGCTGCAAGTCCACCCCAGGGCACATGGAAGTTTTTGCTGGCGCCTCACCCGCACGTAGGACACCGAACTTGAGGAAAGAGCAAGTTAAAACGGACCTAGTGTTGGGCAGGAGAGATAAGCACGTGGATGTTTACAGGCTCAGTCCGTTTACTCTGCTCTGCAGCACACGAGATACAATTAAAGGAACTCACCCCGCTTCTGTGAGAAATCCAACTTGCTAGCACACTGCTATCCACGTCCGTGATTATGCACGTAACTTCAAATTCTTCCCCTTCCTTGAGAAGCTCGTAGGTTTTGGATAAGGTAATGACTGGAAGAGTTTTGTGAACTGAAACACAATTTAGAAGTGCATTACTTTTCATCACCTTCAGAGCTTCCAAGGGGGATAAAAATCAACAGTCATTAACTTTCCAATAAAACTTCAGGCCTCCAAGAGGTATTCAGATTTCTTTAACAAATTACAAGCACTCTTTATAACAAGGACACTTCTGCTTCAATCCCCCTTCAAAGTATGCTTAAAGCTAGATAACACTTATTAGAGCTCAGCCACTTGCCTGAATAAACTTAAACAATATTGAACCATCAATGAGGCCACTCATTCCATGATAACTATTAAAATAATGTGCTCTAATTAAAAATACAGCAACAAGCAGCCACTAAAAAACTGCAGAGTAAAATTAGTTGCAACTCCTAAGACTATAAAATACTTAAGTAGATGTCACATACTGTCCAACAGGTACTGAGAAGCACCTGAGATACCTTAAAGACTTCTGTCCCTAGGAAGAGTATGGGACTTTTGAGCACAGGAGCAGCTCAGGGATTTCAGCACAGCAACCTCTAAAAGCATCACTAACCTCTGCTCATGAGGATCATTCAACGAGAGGCAGTGGTGGCCGAGCCAGGGCCACTGACAACATTGTCACTTGAGATGTAGGAGGTTACAAGCCTCCTGGATTGTCACAGCCTTCTGGATTATGCCACAAAACCTAAGTGCCGTGGGCTTGCTGTATCACTCTTCCATTTCACATGTCTTTTGACAATAGTCAAGCAGTGCTGGCCTACACTATTTGGGAACTGGATAGCTACATGTCTCATTTCAGCAAAACTCATTAGTTCTTCCTTTGCTCCTTCCACGGTTTGCTTGGTTGTTTTTTAATCCTTTCTTCATTTTTTTTCTCCTTTATGAGACTCCAATTTTGCCCTAGTAGAACTGAACTTCCCACTAGGGATTTTATGCAAGGCTGATCACTTCCAAACTGCAAATGCAACAGATTGAAATAAGGCAATCCAGACTCTCTTCCTGCCTCTGACATATAATTTGGCATTAACTCAGGTAAACTTGTTAAAACTTAGGAAAATGCCATGCTTCTCAGCCATTCATATTTTAACAGCGTTCTCATTTGGCTGCAAGAGGCCATGGAATACAACAAAGAACCACGTTGCCTCTCTCCAGACATAAGCGCTCACATAAAATCACACTCCAGGCATCCAGCAGCACCCGAGAGACATGAGGAAGCCGGAGCAGATGTGCGGTGTGTCCTCATCCACCAGTCACACATAAGGACAGTCACAGAGCCACAAAGACCCTCGTTGTTCGGAGAAGAGCTGGGTATTGACACTCTCTCACAAATCTGGACTGCCTGAGGGGGTGAGCAGGTCCCCATTTCATGGATACATATTCTGTAATTCTGCACCAGAAACTCAAGCAAGGAGGTCTAAGCACCATCGTTATGATTACAAAAATATCATTTTTCAAAGGTGAACGCTGTCTCCAATACAGCTAAGTCATAAGCTGAGAAAAGACGGRAGTTTTGCCTGGTGAACTCAAAACAACACTGAGAGCAACAACACGTGGTACTGTATTGCTGCTGATAACATTCAGTAAACGCTTCCAGTTACTGCACGCTTTCTCCAAAACGGAGAACATGGAGAACACATGCAGGGCACAGGCCTGGCAGGCAACTGACCCTTGCCTACGGTCAGGGGGCTGACGGATGTCAACTCATCGCCCTGCTATTTGAGGTCACAGCAGTATTAAGCAAGTAAAGGCGTCATCTGGTAAAAGAAGTTCAATACTACGACTGCCTTCTCCCACATTAGAGACAAGCCAGCTATGTCAGTCAACTGTTAAACTGTCTCTGTCCCTGAAAAAAAAAAAAAAAAMCCTTGAAAACCACACTTATTACAAAACAAACACCAGAGGCAGCAAGAACTGACTTGAACTTTTTTGTCAGAAGACAACACTGTAGATACCTCTAATTCTCATTAATCAAAATTTGTTATTACTTATTAGAATTCTCTATAATTCTCAAATCAGTAGAGATTTCCTCAATTTACCACAGCAGCTCAGACGCTGGCTTTTCGTTCCCCATGCTACGCCCTACGTGAGACTTTCATTTCAACGGAAGGAAACCTCARCCGTGACAAGGTGGCCAGATGAACAGGCACAAACCAGCAGCAGAGCAAAGCACCAGACACGCAACCTGCACCGGGAAGGAGAGGGAGACTCTCCCTCGGCACCTCACCGCGACGTCTACGTCGCGCACAGACCTTCGTGGGACGCGCTCCTACCAGCACAAGCGGACAGTTAATGTGAAGGGACCAAAGGAGAAGGGACCAAAGGCTTGGTGGCCTCACGAGACGCCAAGCTGCTCAGCTTGTTAAACTGCTCCCTCTGCTCCGCTCCTCTCCTGAGTGTTTATACAGTGGATTAGCAACACACAACCCAAGCGCACGCTCGTGACCATCCAAACAAAACACACTTGGCAGCCAGGAGCGGGGCTGCTTCTCCTTCCAAACCCACTCACCGCCCTCCCCTAGGGCACAAGGTCCCACCAGGTCAAATCTCAGGTTTCCACAACAGCCAAGCGAAGGAACAGAGCAGAGCTAAGCACCATGTTAGGCAACCCATCTGATAACGCTCTCCACATCAAGCCTGGCCACACGCTCGCTGTGACCGTCTTTGTCCAGCAAAATCGAGACAAGGGGCCTTGGGCTCTCCCATGATCTTTCTCTCACCCAAATCCCTCTTCTTTAACGCTCTTCATCACTTCCTTCACCAGCTCTCCTGGATGCTGGAGCCAGGCATCCAAATCTGCAGCCTTGGCTGCTGCACAAACCTCTCCAGAGCTCAGGGACACAGAGCCTTACAGCACAACCTGCATTTCTTACACGGGGAAAGGAATGTCTCAAAGTCCCCACAGCCAGGCCATAAACAGTCAACACTGCCCAGCAGGCCACAGGACAGGTTTCGGGGTACAACCTGCTTCTCCATGCCGCGTTTCTTTAGGAAACCCAACCCAGGTTTCCTAAAGTGACTGGTCTCCCCTGCACACCCCGTAATGGTCACAGATGCCACAAAGCACTTCCCCAGTTTGGAAACTGAGCTGCCTTTGAAGAACCCAAAAGCCCCCACTAGACATCAGCTCCAGCCTTCCCATGGACAGCAATGCTAGGCCAGGACATAATAGGAACTGTTCCCAACACATTCAATCATCTTCCTTTGCTCAAAAGTCATGACAGTCTACSTGGTGGTGAAAATTGGGTATTACCTGGCCTCACATTCAGGAATATATGTTCTGAAATCTTCTGCACTCCATTTTGCTTTGCCAAGCACTGATAGCATCCCTTGAAYGACCTCTGCACATTCTTTATGATGATGCCTTTCTGGGGGTTGGGAATGAACATCATGTTCTTGGGGAGGGGTTTGCCATCACATCTTCTCAGGGTGAAATTTGCCACATCTGGGTCTGTCAATGGGCACACCAGCAGAATGTCACTGTCCTCTTTTCCATATATCAGAGAATCAACAAGGAAGAGCACATCCGGATCTGGAAGAAACAACAGTCTGTAAGAAATGCTGGCATTGCACGTGAAAATTTCCATACTCCTCCATCACTAAGGACTGTTATCCAAGGAAGCTTTATATCCCACCTGTATGGTTATTGCTTCTTGGTAAACATGAATTGGGTAATACCTTATTTGCTAATAGTCTAAAGGTGCAGCACAGTAAATCATATACATTAAAAATAATCTTTTTTTAATCTGAGGATTTTTTTTTGTCTTGCTTAGCTCCAACTAGCAGTATACAGATTTTTACAGGCCATTAGAACAAATATGCTTTTAGCCAGTGGCAGGGCTGTACGGTTTCATGCCCACAGGAGGATTTTAAAGAAATTTATGAGCGAACAGTAGTCAAACAGCACCTAAATTATGGTTTTCACTTCTGTAAAATATGTAATCTAAATGAACACAGATTGCTGCCAGAGGAAGCACCAAACAACTTCTCTCTTTCTCTCTCCTCCCTGAAAGCATGAGGCTATTTTTAGTCTCAAGAAAACCCTGGGCATTCAGACAGTGCATCTGAGCAAAAAATCAGAAAGTAATCTTTCACAAGATACCATTTCTAAAAAGAGTTTTTTCAACCACATAAAGATACAGTACGACAAATACTTTTACAACTAAAGTTGCCCAAGCTAGCTGATGACTTTGAAACACTAAGAACTTGGCCATTAAAACCGAACACAAAAATATGGAGTACGGTAGTGACATTATGTTTATTTCAGTTCCCATTTACTCTCACTAGAGGCTAGATTCCCCAAAAATGAATAGAAAAAGAGAGAAGTTTCCTTTTGTCTTGTAAATTGGCCTACTACCATTTGAATGATAGAGATCTCCAGACGACAGTCTAAGAGGAAACAGTGAGAGAAGTGGCTTAGGAGGTATGATAATGCCATGCACTTGGTTTAAGACAAAAATTATCATGCTGATAATGAAACATGGGATGTCTAGGTCAGCAACTAGGGAACACTTTGCTCTGGTGACAAAGGCCTTTGAAAGTAAAGCTGGAGTGAGTTTTCTTTCTACTGAACAGGAAATATTTCTTCTATTGGACTGTGCTCTTCTACACCTCAAATTCATTTCCTCCCTAGGATTTACTTCCTGTTTAAATAATACAGGCCAGGAGGATTTCTCTTCTCTTTTCCAGTTTAGACTTTCACTGTTTCTGGGTCTACCCAACTATCTACGAAATAACTTTTGAGTCTTTCTGGGCTAATAGGATGATTCCACATAATGTTTGAAGGTAATTTAAAAGGCTTTATTTCAGCTTCTGAGCACTCGCAAGCAAAGAAATAGCCAGTATTTGTTCTGGGCCAACCTTCTCAAGGCGAACCCTTGGTAGTGAGAAAACAATGAGGGGAAAGCCAAACATSCATTTCCACTTCCCCCACCCCTCACCCACCAAAAAAAGAAGACTTCCTTAATTTTTACCTTTAACAAAAACATAAAAAGATTTGACAATCCTCCCCTTGCTTTTGCATATATATCTGCCTATGTCTCTGGTTGTTGCATTTTTGGTGTACCACTCTTTCTCATTGGAACTCCTTGCTTTCGCTAGTGGGTCCGAGTTCTGGAAATTCCAAATTACGGGTCCCTCCTCATTGCACGTCAGTCTTAATCCTTCTCCTTTATTCACAATTAGCCAAGATTCTTCATGTGACAACGAACCACCTGGAAAAAAGAAGACAAAATCCAATGTATGTTAATACAACTCTCCAATTMTTTTCCTGCAGCAAAATCATTATTAACAATTGGATAAGTGCAGTTAAAATCTTTGGAGGTGGCTTCTTAAAAATAATAAGCTGCAATTGCATCTACTTCTGCAGCGATTTGGGTTTTGATTGGGAACAGACCCAAACTATTTAAAAATTAATTCAAAACTCTACGAGTCTCATTCTACATGGTACCATTTTAAACCATTCTTTGCCATTTATTCAGTATTTTGCCAAGAATTACAGATCCCTTGCTCTCTTTAAACTGCTCTCTCATGTATTTAGAAACTCCAGTCACACTTTAAGAAATGTCCAGTTTAATTACGGCATTAGCGCATACTTTCCACTGCAGGGCTTATTTCTTTACGTGGACTGGTAATTTGTCATTTCTTACCTAAAAAAATAATTCCATGCAAAAYATCCCTCAAGATCCCATTCCAACACTACTAAGTTACTGCCACTGGGGTGCCAATCTCCCAGTCAAAGCCACTTTAAATCTGTTCTTAACACTTAACATGCCAAAACACAACATTTTAGAAGTTCCAAGAAATTAAAAGTGTAAAATTAGCAGCCTSAGTTCACAGTTCCCAACCATTTCCCAATTTATACTGCAAACTTGGAGGAAAGGAAAAAAATAAAATAAAAAAATAAGGCTTCTCCAGCTCCCAACCCCAATATAAAAGTGGGACCTAAGAGCTGTGCCGTTAGCTCATACCATTTTCCTAGGAAGCACCATTTACCTCACCTTAAAACTCCATGTGCAGCAGTCATGCCACAAAAATGCACTACTGCCTGCATTCAAAAACCCATTTGGGCGGGGGGGGGGAAGGTTACCTCATGGGGATAACAACAGGCAATCAAGCACAACAACTGGATAATTAGTTGGGACAAGATTATGCATTCCAGACTTAATTCACTTATCTCACAGTTTTAGCCGCTATTAAGGTATATAATGGATTAGGATGAGGTCAGGTAACCACTCCTCTTCCTGACAAATCCAGTGCAGTGACAAAGTAGGAAGCCAAGGATATCCAGACCAGCAGCAAAGACTAATCATTTTGTTTGTGGACTGGGTTTTGGAGGAGGTCTCCATTTTCACACCATCTTCCTCTAATTAAAAGGTATTTATCAGCGCTCAACCAGAAGGGCAGTCATTTTTCCAATGCTACCAGAAATTCTYCACACAAAGACCACTACCCCTGCCTATATGCTTCCAAGACTGAACATATAAATGAGCATCTGAGAAATGGCCAGCAAAAAAAGAAAAGAAGGCAGAAAAAAAAAAATCACATTTCAAATCTGCCGCATTAAAATRCAGATGTGAGTCTGAAGCACAATACAACTGCTGGGCTGAACAGAGCAAGAGTCCAACATCTCTGGAGCTAAGGTCCACCCAGCAGTGGCTTTGCAGACAAGAGAAGAGCAGCTCTCTCATCTCAAGCAACATGGCAAAGCTCCCCACGGCCCAAGTCCTGCCAGCCCACTAGGCCATGCATAAAAGGGGCTGAAAAACACAGTGCCCTGCTGCCTCAGCCTGCCTTATCCCCCTCCTCCAGCAGCAACAGCCACTATCTCTCCTCCACCTCCTCTCAAGGGGCTGGATGCGCCTCTGAAAAGAGGAGCCGACCACTCCRCCTATGTGGGACTTTCATTTCAACGGAAGGAAACCTCAGCCGTGACAAGGTGGCCAGATGAACAGGCACAAACCAGCAGCAGAGCAAAGCACCAGACACGCAACCTGCACCGGGAAGGAGAGGGAGACTCTCCCTCGGCACCTCACCAYGACCTCTGCGTCGYGCACAGACCTTCGTGGGACACGCTCCTACCAGYGCAAGGGGACAGCTGATGTGAAGGGACCAAAGGAGAAGGGACCAAAGGCTTGGTGGCCTCACGAGACGCCAAGCTGCTCAGCTYGTTAAACTGCTCCCTCTGCTCCGCTCCTCTCCTGAGTGTTTATACAGTGGATTAGCAACAYACAACCCAAGCGCACGCTCGTGACCATCCAAACAAAACACACTTGGCAGCCAGGAGCGGGGCTGCTTCTCCTTCCAAACCCACTCACCGCCCTCCCCTAGGGCACAAAGTCCCACCAGGTCAAATCTCAGGTTCCCACAACAAGTTCCACCAGGCAAAGGAAGAGAGCAGAGCTCAGAGGCACTGAGACAACAAAGAGCTCCTGCTCCACCACGCTCTGCCTCTCACCCAAATCCCTCTTTTTTAGCATCCTTCATCCCTTCCTCCTGCCGGCACTCCTGGGCAATGGACACTGAAGCCAGGCATCCAAATCTACAGCCTTGGCTGCTGCACAAGCCTCTCCAAGCCCTAGGAGCACAGCTTTCTCCTCAGGGTCTAATATATAACACAGTGTTGCCCAGCTGAGCATGATGTATAATGTCCGTATGTGTATGGGGAACTTCACAAAGAAACACTACTCGCATTGAAAAACATGTACAGGGGCTCCTTTCGGAGGCTAAATTTCCCTATCCTCAGGGATAATAACAGGCATTCAAGCAAAACAATTGGATAATTAGTTGGTACAAGATTAAATTCCAGACTTAATTCACTTATCTTGTAGCTCTGGTTGTTCTTATGTTATATAGTGGATTAAAGCCAGGTCAGGTAACTGCTGCTCTTCCTTACAAATCCAACAGCAACCATTTAGGCAGCAAGGGCTGTCAGATGATCAGAGTCCAATTACTTTGTTTTTGGTCTGGATTTTGGAGGGAGTCCCCATTTTCACATCATGTACTTCTGATTAAAATGTTTTTATCCGTGTCCAATCAAAAAGGCAGTCATTTTTCCAGCACTATAAGAAATTTTCCACGTGAGCTCCACTAATCTCTATGCAAACTCACATGACTGCACTTATATGCAAGCATCCTAGAAATAATAATTTCCAATTCTGAATTGTGTGTAATATTTTATGGGCTTTTTTTTTTGCAATACTATTAAATACCTGTCATTATTGGTTTATTTTATTAGCATATGATATAATTACATGCTATTTGCCCTTGAGGACAGCCCCAGAAGACAATCTAGAATGTCACAAGAGACTAAGAAAAACTGATATTTCATAAAAAATAGTTCATATTTTTATGCCTTTTTTTTTTATTTATTTTTTCCCTAGCACTGCATCATAGACTTTCAGGTCAGCACCCCAAGTTTTGTAAATTTCTGCAGAAGAATTTACAAACTGAATTAATGCCTTCYGCAAAGGATTCCCGCAACTCGGTCTTTCTGACACCCAAAACCAATATATCTTCAAGGGAATGGAACATGACGGGGTAAGAATATCAGTGGTAAAAGTAAAAACTATCAAATGTGTTTAGTATTTTGCACCTAAGTATCTCCTATCTTTTAAAAAGGAGACTTAAAGAGTAAATGGTRTTGAGAAAGATGGGAATGACAGTGTATATACGCTTTTGGGGAGAATAATTAAGTAACGAAAATCTGGGATTTTTACCAACAGTTTGTAATCCAGTCTACTAATCCGCACTAGCACATGCCCATCTGCTATGTCCTGATCTTTTCTCAGACTGCTTGCACATCACACCAGAGGCTACTCCATTTGTATTGCACCTGAGGTACAGTGGGTTTCCTCCAAGTCCTGTATTGATCCTGCACACTCCCATAACAAAATTATAATCAAAAAAACATATATTAGTAAAGCTAAGAAATTCAAAATCAGGTCTTGCTGGCAGGAAATGGTAATAGATCTCCATGCAGGAATCCCAAAATCATGGGATACAGAGTCAGTGGTTTCCTCCCAGGGCTGCACATGCATCTCTGGCACAGGCACAACTTCACTCTCAGCAAGAGGATGGAGGAATCCACAGCTTTTCCAAAGATCCCTCCTCAGGCATGGTTTTGCATCCCTGCTCCCTCTCCTGGCCCACACTGAAGATGGCTCCCCACTCATACTGTGGAAAAGGAGGAGGACCATAAGCATTATTATTGTCCTATCCTCTGGGAARCCCATCCAATCCTAGGACAGGATGAAAAAAGAGGAAAACAACCCTCTGCCATGGTTGCTGCTGGCTAACTGGATGCATTGATCCTGCTACAGGTTGAGGTGATCTGCAAGTCCCACCTGGAAACATCAGACCCTCCCCAGGTGACACAGCCACAATATCACCCTGGCRTTCTGGATTCCTCCCTAGGGTTGCCCTCAAGGACAAACAGCAAGTAATCATAGTCTAATAAACATAATAATGGCAAATACCTAATACTAAATAATGAAAAAAAAAGTCCATTTTGGATATTTTGAGTGTGTGTTCTATAGCTGGAAAAGTCACTTCCACTATTCTACCTTGTAATGTACTGAATTTTAGTTAAATACTACATTGCTGAGATCACTTAAGAACAAAACTGAGTAACTGAAAAAGAAGCAGCATGTGTGAATATGTTGCAAAAAGCCTCCTAATCCCTAAAAAAAAAGGGGCAGAGGGAGAAAGGAGGGGGAGTACAGCAGCAGTGACTTCTGCAGCAGAAGGAACATCTGGAAAACTGGGCTGAAGGAATTAGAAAATACAGCAGCTGTAGATAACACTGATAGGAAATGCAGGTCAGATTGCAGGGATATGATTAAGGACAGCAGAATGTACTTGTAACAATAAGGGGATGTGCAAACAAACAAGCTTTGGCTAAACAGCACACCATCCTGGGAAAAAGAAAAAAAAAATCGTGGAATCCTGGTCTGCCTCAGTCACAACGTTGATGAAGCAGGGAAAAGCACATCAGGTGCAAATCCACATTAGACTCACAAGCCACCGGAATTCATCTCCAGCTGCCAAACAAAGGACCTGGTACTGCCGTTGAGCAAGATGGAGAGTCAAGTGTTGTGGCTTTTATTCCCCATCCTTCCACAGATTTCCTGTACAACCTTAGGCCAACAGCTTAATACCTACATGGCCATTTCCTTTTTCAATTCTTAGCTAAACATTAAAAGGAACAAGAAGC